TTTATCGATAAATACAAGCGCTATATTCAAATGATGATAGCAACGCGTTTCCTTAGATACATAAACTATTTATTTAACAAAAGAGAATTGTCATAGCAATAGGTGTGTTTGTGAGATCGGGGGGATGCCTGAGCGTCTTTTACCGTAAACCGTGAATCAGATCGGACGTGTCTCGTTGATCTCGTGTGATATGCTTAATTGATTAATCACATTTGTATTCTGAGTTTGTAATTAGTTCTGAGTTCGAGTTTATGAGTTGACCAATAAAAACGTGTTTCGATAAGTGCTCAAATTATTGCTTTATTCGATTTCTCACGTTCACTATAATATTTATATATACAGTTCAATAATTCATGGTTCAACTGTTAAACTATTACCCTTTTGAAAAAGCCATTCTCCTGACAAACTACAAATTGACTCGCTGTCTTACAATATATGTTTATATGTATACAGGGTGAGTTTTTTAACTTGAAACTGTGAAATATCTCGGAAAGTAAGCTTTATCGAAAAAAATGTTTCAAACAAAAGTTGTAGGGTTCGGAGAGGGCCACATGATAAAAATATGGATTTGACCTTAAATGACCTTTTCAAGGTGAGATTAATGTGATCAAAGTTTTCTTAAATGGAACTTCCCTTTTTTTATTACATATTCTTGTAGCTTACCTCGAGAGCTCTCTCTCTCTCTCTCTCTCTCTCTCTCTCTCTCTCTCTCTCTCTCTCTCTCTCTCTCTCTCTCTCTCTCTCTCTCTCTCTCTCTCTCTCTCTCTCTCTCTCTCTCTCTCTCTCTCTCTCTCTCTCTCTCTCTCTCTCACACACACACACACACTCACACACACGCACTCTTTTCTCTATTTACTTGCTCGTTATTATATTCTTTCACTCGCACTCATATCGGTTTTATTTTTTCTGTTCTTTTTTCTTTCTACATATAAATTAATTTTATACATACATGTATGCATTTTTATTTTGTTATATACACAAAATATTACAAAAATAAGTTACCGCGTTTGACTATTCTATAATACTGACAATTAAATACAACCTATATATGTAAATCTATCCTTTACATCTGTGAAATAAAAGTAATCTTTATAATAATTGACTACAATTTACAGATACTTATTAATTTACAAATGAAATAAGAAAAAATAAGTTTGATTGTTATATCCCAGACAGCACAATGACATCCTCGGGAAATCCAAAGGACATCCAGGACGGACATTACGGATATCCTGTGGATATCCAATTTTTATCCCGGGATATACTCAGGATGTCCTGAGGAAGAGCAAATGAGAGCTGAATACTAGTCCTTAAGACATCCAGAGGATATCCTGTCAGACAGCCTCAGGATGTCTTGAGGATTTCTCTAGGACATGTTATGGACATTTCTTAGGCGTCTGAAGGGAAAGATTCTAAAAGTGAAATCAAGCAATTAATGTATTCGGTTTGCTAATTCCGTTTCAGGAGAGAGTCGAGTACTCTTTTTTCCTTATAATAAACAGAAAAAACAGAAAGCACTCTCGATTCAACTCAGAGTCAGCAAATTCAAAACATTATATGTTTTTATTGTTCAATATATTATAACTAATAATGTAAAACAAATTATTTACAATTAGTTAATATTTTAAGTAAAAGATGTTAAAAATATTTCTCTCTACATCATTTGCAGCATCTTTTCTATTTATTTAGTAAAAATATAACGTTTAATTTTGTGTAATTAGTTCTTCAATACTAATTTAAAAAATACAGAGCATTTTTTTCTATTCAGTATAAAGAGAGAACACAGCATTTGCAACTTTTTAATTAAAATATTTCGTTATATATCACTTTCAAAATTTAATTAAAGTATAAATGTAAAAATTTAGTCAATGTATGAATGTAAAAAAAGAGGAAACAAATTATTTCACATAACATTGTATTTAATCTCTTTTTAATCATGTTCTTTTCAATCAATGTTACAGTTTTTAATCACAGTTTATTGTTAGCAACTTACAAATGTCACAGTATTCTATAGAGACACAACTTAACACATATATATTATAAATATGTAAACGCTATATTATATTTGCTAACAAATAAATTTGTACTTTTCTTTGGTATAAACACGCGCGTATGAATTTTAAATAAATATTAAAATTAATATAAACTTCTGTAAATGAACAGTTCAAGTAATGTATAAAACATATTAATGCCATCAACATTTATATATATATATAGTTTAAGAAATAATATCACTGTACTTGACTCTTACAAGAATAAACTATTACGACAAATGTGCGTATTAAATAACCAAATAACAGACTAAATAACTTACTTATAAAATACATCAATTGTATAAGCTCTAAGCCACGTTTTGAATGGATATGTTCACTTAATGATGAAGAGGATCAGCCTGATATTAATATAATAACGTTTACGAAACGTAACCAAAACGTCGGAATTATTTTCGTCCAAAACGCAGCTCCAATCCCGAAACCACATATAATAATGTTTTAATATACCGCAAAATCTTAAAATTTCAGTTGGTATATCAACAATCGTATGTTATGCAGTACCATTGGCAGTTGCATATCTATCTGTGTTGTCTCTACAACAAAAAATATGTAAAAATTAATACTAAGTAGTGATTAAATCGATGTAGTACATTCAATTCTAAAATTTGTTAAAATTTACTTTGTTTTCTTTTGGTAACGTTCATTTGCCCGTAACCACCACGATTTAATTGGTTCCGCAATAATTTGCTCTGTTGCGTTTGAAAAATGAACTCTTACAACACCTATATAAAAAAAATGAATTTTATTTATAAATCAGTATTATAATTAAAAATGACGATATGATTATATACTTACTGAATATTACTTTCCGTATTTCCAAATCATAAAATATTTGTTTTTTCTTTCCTCCAATGTAATTAAACATACACGCTAATTTATCGGAAATTAATGTCCGTAAAAGATTAAATACAATTCTTCTGATATCATTACCGCCAATACGCGATAATTCTTTAATCTGTAAGAATATGTAAAAATATACATAGAAGTATGCGCGCGCACACACACACACACAATTGATTCCAATTTTCACAGCACTTACTAATTTTTGGCGATTTATTTGATTTTCAATTAATGATTTCTCAAAAGTCTGCAAATCTTCCATATTGTCAATGGGAAAATTATTCATAACATGTTGCTGTATAGTTTCGCCTTCTGTCCCATGAGAGGGAGATATTTGAAGATTTTGTAAAATAGTATCTAATCTGCTATTCATAACATTTCCTTGTTCTTGCAATGAACGTAGTTGAAATCCTATGTCTATGATTTTTCTTATTATAAAACGTTGAAAATCAGAGCTTGCTAGAATTATAAAATAGTATATTAGTACATTGTAAAATAAAATGAAATAAATAAGCCATATATTTATAAATGATAGTTTCATACTTACTTAAACCAGTATTATTTGTGTTACGTTTAGCACAAGGCTCATCATATAAATCGTCATATAAATTTTCTTTATCGTACGTATCTATTAGAAAATATATCAATATATATTTTTAAAAAAGCAATCCCCAGTAAACACGAACTATCAGTAACATAACATCATCAATGTTATAATTTCTCAGTCAACAATGTAACTGTTACATAACATACATACCTTATATTGCATTTATATTGTTCCCTCGCGCACATGATCTGATTAGAAAAGGGTCTTACTTCCTTATAATTATTTTTGTCAACGTTGATGCAGCTGTGTTTATTACTTGTCCGTTAGAAAATTATTATCAGTATTAATGCAGCTGAGTTTATTAAACATTTCGTTAAAATTTCTTGTTATCTCGTTGTTCTTCCGCCGGAAATTCTACTGCAAGGGGTAGATATTATTTTTTATTTATTTCGATACCGGCATGATTTCCATCACCGATTTCCTTGCGTCTTTCCCACGGATACTCGTGGATGTAGTTACTGACAAATGACAGTGTTTAAAAGATACGTATGGCATAAGATGCTTTGTTTATTGAACGGTTCGTTCTTATCACCAACTGACGATCGTTACCGCGACGTTGCGGAAGAAAAGAATCGTGGAGTCGCCAGGACGTAACAGCAGCAATGGAAAGACAGCAAATTTGTTATTTAATGGTAGCTGAACATATTTTATTTTAATATCTTTTATTTGCCATATCTTAAAATCTGATAAATTATCTACGACGAATATTCCTAGAAGTGATGAAGGGCATGGTTTATCATATAAATCTTCTTTATGTAAAAATTCATTGCCTATAATGACATCTGTATTCAGTTCTTTATGATAAGTCACATTTTTTATTTGAACAATGCTTCCATCGCTTAAACCACAGCAATTATCTGCTAATGTATCTGTGCGTATGGTTGCATTTGAGCATTTTATTATGTAATACTGCGGATTGCAGCAGCCTTCAATTAAAGGACCTTTGACATGAATAGATTTTCTGTCTATTACAAAATCAGGTAGTATTGTTATGTGCAATTCACGTGGTTTCTCAATGTTCTTTCCTTCAATATATCTTCGAACAACCTGTTGTAATGGTTGGTCATGCTTTTTTAGTAACTTTTTTAATATTTGCAAGTAATTTTCATACTTGAAAGAACTAAAAGTATCCAGTGTACCAAACCTTTTCGCATCTTGTGCTAAATGAATAAAACTATGCACGTTATGTGAAACGTTGTAAGTACCATATAGCAACTTGAAAGATGATACAAAACATTGTAGAAGCTCCTGAGCATAGTCAATATATTCTTCAAATTGTGAACAACATAATATCCTAATTGCAACATGTAATATTAAAAAATGATTATACAGATCCTTTCGAAGAAGTTTAAAAGCTACACAGCCTGTGTATAATAGTACATTTCGAAATTCTGTTGCCTTCCATAATTTGACAAGGGCAAGTGATCTTGGTTTACGTACAAATTCGCATGGCATGTATAATTTTAATACATTTTCCAGCTGCAATGATATTGCCTCAACTTTCCTGTGTTGTAAACGAACTTCAAGTTTTCCAAATAACCACATATATAATAATTTGCGCATGACTCCTAAACATACAAGATGCATATAATCCAAAGGTATATTATTCACAAGATCAAAATCTGATAGCTTTAAAATAGCTGAATGTCCAACATGATAATTTTCGTCCTTTCTTAAACGGAAATCTTTATCTGTTCGTAGTTGCGCATTTGTTTCAGAAAAACACATTTTACCATTAATGTAACTGCCTTCAATTATGCATTTTGTGCAACTGGAATAGCCATTATGTCCTTTTATTTGCAACACAAATGCTTTCGCTGGTGCATCGCATATAATAGAATGTAATGTACATGGTACATTTATGTTATTAATAATGATTCCTTCTTCGTGTAATATCTTTGCTTCATCCACAAATTTTGCAAGAAATTTATTTGAATCTGATGGTTTTCGTGTTCCATAATAAATGCCAATAATAAAAACCTCTTTAGATCCAGATATGGATCCCAAAATTGGCCAAAATTGCCGTTGTGATGACTTCGATAATGGTAATCCATCAACATTTATTGATATTTTGATATCTGTAATATCTTGTGAAACAAATGGTATAATACTTAGTATTCCTTCTCTCAGTCCAAAATGATAATATTGGCCACCAGCGCAAATCTCAATATTACTACTTCTAGGAGTATGCATAAGAGTTCTTGGATCTAATGGTATATCAAAACTACAGTTTTTACATGTATATTCTTTAATTCCTTTTAACAAAGAGCGCAATGATGATTGCGAAATATGTTCTTTAATAGTCCATTGACTTAAAAATGTCTTAAAATCAATATTCCTATTTGATGCGCTATCTATATTATTATTTTCTATAACATTGTTTATATTTTAAGGTTTTCATAAGATTCCATTATAATATCTGTTTCCATTTTTATCATTTTCCTTCGATATGAGGAAGTAATTATACGTTTGTGTAAATGTTTTTTACCCAACATATTGAATTTGTATTCCTAAAACCAATTTAGCAACTGTTTTTAACATAAAAAATCAACTGCTTTTAAGATGAAAAAGTAACAATTTAAAGTAAAAATTAATTTAATAATTTTGATTGTTTAAAAATGTGAAGGTAATAATATACGCGCGCGCACACGTGTGTGTAAGAATTACTATCGACAATAAAATATAATAACGATTAATAGTTAATTTTTGTAACATAAGATTTGTTCATTATTGTTAAACTAATGCACAGTATGAAACAGGTATACAGTTGTGACTTTTGATGTTAAAAAAAAGCGAAAAAGAAATAGTGGAAGCTAATGCAGCTAGTTCAATTATAAAGAATAGATTTATAATTTACAAATCGAATTTCTTCTATCATGAAACTGTTCGGAATTAATTCCAATCGAAATCGTGTATGCAACAAATTATACTTAATACAACACTTGCTATAGATATTCCAGACCTATATATAATTTTTTTTTCTTTCGTCTTTCTTTAACACTAAAAATCACAACTGTATACCTGTGGTTTTTTTTTAAGTTCCATAAGTGCATTAGTTTAGCAACAAAGAACAGACCTTACATGTTACAAAAATTAACTATTAATCTTTATTATATTTTATTGTCTATACAGAGTAATTCAGACTAAGTGTAAAAAACTTAGACAGATTGTTTGGGAGGTCATTCTGAGTAAAAAATGTTATATGAAGATAGGATCTATCTTTAATATTTGCGTAGTTACAGAAGTTTTAAAATAAAATCAAGGAACACGTTTTGAGCATTTATTATAAAATTAAACTGTAAATAAATGATTTTTATTTCTTCTCCTGTTTTGTTTTAATTTCTCAAGATCATTTCCTACGAATCATGTGATTTTATTATGATAACAGCAACTGAGTAAAAAATGTTATATGAATATAGGTCCTATCTTTAATATTTACATAGTCACAGAAATTTTTAAATTAAAAAAGGGTTAAAGTTTTAAACACACACACACAGTCTGGATCTATATACTCCAGGCCCCTATATGAATAAATTTAAGTTTTCGTTACTTACGTACTTAATATATGCAGCCTCCTCTCTCTCGCTGCTGTCAGAATTGCACTGTATGTATTACTCTGCACTGCTACGTGTTCTGCTGACAGAACGTACGCAACACTGCAAACAAAAATAATAATTATTACTTACATCTGCTTACATATCTAACATATGAATACAAAGTTAAATATGTATTCTGATATTCATTGTTCATACTGGAAAGCTGTGGTCAATGTTACGTATACTTCAGATTTTCAGTACCAGCAATTAATATTGAAACGCAGCCTACATGTTAAAGTTTTTGTTACTTACATACCTAATATATGCAGCCTCCTCTCTCTCGCTGCTGTCAGAATTGCACTGTATGTATTATTCTGCACTGCTACGTGTTCTGCTGACAGAACGTACACAACACTGCAACATAAAACAAAAATAATAATTATTACTTACATCTGCTTACATATCTAACATATGAATACAAAGTTAAATACGTATTCCGATATTTATTGTTCATACTGGAAAGCTGTGGTCAATGTTACGTATATTTCAGATTTTCAGTACCAGCAATTAATATTGAAACGCAGCCTACAAGTTAAAGTTTTTGTTACTTACATACCTAATATATGCAGCCTCCTCTCTCTCGCTGCTGTCAGAATTGCACTGTATGTATTATTCTGCACTGCTACGTGTTCTGCTGACAGAACGTACACAACACTGCAACATAAAACAAAAATAATAATTATTACTTACATCTGATTACATATCTAACATATGAATACAAAGTTAAATACGTATTCCGATATTCATTGTTCATACTGGAAAGCTGTGATCAATGCTACGTATATTTCAGATTTTAAGTACCAGTAATTAATATTGAAACGTAGCCTACAAGTTAAAGTTTTTGTTACTTACATATCTAATATATGCAGCCTCTTCTCTCTCGCTGCTGTCAGAATTGCACTGTATTACTCTGCACTGTATTACTTTGCACTGCTACGTGTTCTGCTGACAGAACGTACACAATACTGCAACATAAAATAAAAATAATAATTATTACTTACATCTGATGCTTACATAAAATGTTAATAACGAATAGTTCAACTGCTAGAACTTTTCAGGTTAAATTCAAGATTTAAGTATGAAGCGGTTAATACATAAATAAAGCATAAGCCTATGAAAGATTCATTTAATAAAATCACAAATGTAAATATACGCATTTAAAAATGTCACAATTGTTAAAATAATTTTTGTAATCATAATGTGATTTTTGCAGATCATGTCACGTAATTTTTAGACTAATGGCAAATCGCCAAATGTACAAAATATTATATTAATGGACAATTAGACACATATATACAAAAATAATTTTAGAAATATTTATGTGAATATTGAATAAGGATGAGAGATTACCTGAAATTAAAACGATTGTTCTACGTTGCTGCTTTTTCCATGTATAGCCATGCGGGAAGAGACCGGAAGTCGTATCATTGCACGCATATATCGCATGTTGCTACCCGGATGTCTGTTAATGGCTACCACGCAATTTGAAAAGTTAAATATTGATCATATAAGAATAAATATAATATCCAAACTTTATCCATTTATTTTATTATCAATTTACTTACCGTGATACACTCTGGCTATGTTTATTTTAGGCACTCACGCGCTGTAAACTTATATAAGCGCTGTTTTCATTCATTCGTCCAGATAGTAAAAAATATCCCAAAATCATCCAAAATGTGTCTAGGATATCTTGAGGAGTTTCGTGGAATGTACTCAGGACATCCTGGGTTACGCCTTAAGACATCCTGAATATGTGTGGGATGATTTTAAGATATTGAGTCTAGTGGATATTAAAAGAAGATTTACACTTTATTGTAGTTCTTAATATTCTGAAATTACTTCAAGTATTTCATCATAATTAATGAAGTCAAATATACTCATAAAATATTTATAAAATATTTACAATAACACAATTAAATATTCTGGACATATCCCAGGACATCCTGGACATATTCAGGACGATCCTGAGGATATCTTGTGCTATCTGGGTATATATACAGGTTGTCCGGTGGTTCGCGTAAAACCTATCGTGGGCAGATAGAGTGGGTCAAACCGAGTAGAAAACTACTCTACCATTTTGCGAAATTCGCAATAATTAATGAGATATTAATTAATAAAGATCGGCCAATACGCGCGCTTACAAGCGCGCGGCGAGAAGAGACAGCCCAATGTTACGTTACTATGCACGCAGCGAGAAGAGACAGCCTAATGTTTTACGGTTACTAGGCACGCGACGAAATTTTTTTATGTATTGCGCTTAGCAACTGTAATATTGAACTGTCTCTTCTTGCTGCGTGCATAGCGACCACGTAACACTGGGCTGTCTCTTCTCGCCGCGCGCTTGTAGGCGCGCGTATTGATTGATCTTTATTAATTAATATCTCATTAATTATTGTGAATTTCGCAAATGATAGAGTACTTTTCTACTCGGTTTGACCCACTCTACCTGCCCATGAAAGGTTTTATGCGAACCACCGGACACCCTGTATATATTATACATTGAGATATAAAATTATGTTCTTACTTTTAATTCCAATATATTCATCTCCTTTTAGTGTATTGTCGTGTGTATCTGAAAGAGTATAAAAATTATATTATCAGTGTATATACAAATATTTATAAGATATTACAAAACAGATTTAAAATAAAAAATAATCATCTAAATAATTGCTAACAGACATCTTGTCTAAAAATGTACGATATCGAATTGTCTTACTTTTAATTGTAGTATATTCCTCATTTTCTTTTTGTGTTTCATTGTGTGCATCTCCTTTGTATGTATCTGAAAGAATATATAAAATTGTATTATGAATGTACATACATAAATTTATACGATCTTATAATACAGAAAATTGTTGAAAGTATTAAATGATCAACTAAAGATGAATTGTCTTACTTTTAATACATTCTTTAGCTTCTTTTTGTGTAATATGTTTGCTTGAATCCCCTTTGTACGTATCTAAAAGAATATATAAAATTGTAAAAGTGTAAAAAAATGTGTATATATATATACATATATATTTAAGACCTTTTACAATATAGAATAAGATTATTGAGAAAATATGAGACAATATTAATATCGTGATAATTGGACGTATTTTGATACACACTGCTAGTACTAAAAGTCTATAATATACGTTATACGTAATGTAAACTATAAATTTTCAATACTAACAGTGTATATCAATGCCCTATATTTATGGTTTATCAAAATTCAAAATATTCTTTAAATATGTTACTGCTCGACTATAAAGCCAGATTCAAATGGTTCTTTTTTTTTAATTTTTTTCAATGCAAACCATATTTACTGATCTTAAACATATCTCAAATATATCTCAAAAGACACGCGTGATAAAAACAATTTTAATATTACTTGTATAAACTCTAGGCGCTTTTGGATATGCTGGTAAGCATGATGGATTGCTATCATCACTTTCAAAATTAAATATATTAAATCTGAAAGATACAAATTAATAAAATGTATGCAATGTATACAATATACATATCAACGAGAAAAAGAATAGATATACGTACATTATGCAACAATGGTAGAAGTACAAATAATGTATCAAAAATGTTGAATTTTACATATTTTATTTTCAGAGAAGTTAAAGGCCAGGCCGATAAATGTTCATATCCAGTCGATTTATATATTCCTAACAAGGAGGAATTACATGGTTCGGTATATAAATCACTTAAATTGATAAATTTTCGACCAATAATGAAAAGATCATTAGCAACATTACTGACAATATTTTCTATGATAACAATCGAACCATCGTTTAAACCACAGCAGTTATTTGGATTATGAATAGATAGGGTAAAATCTGCTCTTGAAAATGTTGAATATCGAGGACCATTTATTCCAGGCAACACTGGGCCCGCATTGTGTATTCCATGTACACCCATTTTTCTATGTTTTTTTTCAAACGATAAGCAATGTTCCAATTCTGTCAAACGATTGTGAATTTGTTGTAAAGGACGTTCAGCTTTTCTAAGATATTGTTTTATTTTTTTTTAAATAATTTTCATATCGAAAAGCGCTGAATGTATCCAGGGGTCCAAATTTTCTAACATCTTCTGCCAAATGAATAAGTGCATGTATATTGTAAGATGCATAATGTGATCCATATAAAATTATAAATGACTGCACAAAGTGTTGTAGTAAAGACTCCGCATAAATAATATGTAAAAGATCTGGAGAACACAATAGCCGAATGGCTACGTGTAATGTTAAAAAATTATTGTAGACATCTTTTTTCATATAATTTTTCAAAACAATGGGACCAGTATATAAAAGAAAAAGTCTGAATTCTGTGGCTTTCCATAAGCTCAAAAAATTTAATTCCTGTGGTCTACGCGCAAATTCTACGGGTATCGATGATCGCATTTCAATAGACAATCTGGAAATACTGCTTATTGATTGTGCCGGCAGTCGAACATTTAATGGTCCGGATAACCAAAAATTCAAAATTTTCTTGACCGCACCAATGCAAACCAAGTGCATATAATCCAATGGGATGTGACTTATCATTCCAAAATTCGGTATATCTGATAAAATACTTGATCCAGTGTGATGTTCTATCTGTCTTTGTATAAGGAAACTTTCATTTGTCCGACTAGTACAATTTATATCTGGGAAACACATTCTCCCACTAATATATTCACCTTCAGTTGTACATTTTGGACAGAGCCTAAAATAGGCCACAATTGATTAGTAGAGGATTTTGAAATTGGCAATCCATCTATACTGATTTGCACTGAAACTGAATCAACGTCATCTTGACTTTTCTGTAGAAACTGCATTATTCCTGATCTTAAGCCATTATGAAAGTATTCACCTGGTGTAACTCTCCGTACATTAGTATATTTTGGTGTTTCCAGCATTGTTTTAGAATTTTTTGGCAAGTTATCAAAGCCATGGTTTCTTAAAATTGACAATAATGCAGTAACTGCTGTAAGTGATATTTGAAATTGTACTGCCCAGTTTGTTAAATTGCCTAATTGTTGCAGCTGTGGACGAACTTGTACAGTCAGCATTTTTCTTGTTATTAAAAGTGAATGCAATCGGACATAAATCCTCCAAATTTAAATTACTATTATAATCAAGATTATATGCAATATTTTCATTGTCAGGAACATTACAATATTGTCGTGGTGGTTCATTTCTTAGTGCAACATTTGTTGCCTGATCAAGCTCGTAATTGACATCAGTAATTACGTGTTCAATAATATCGCTTGAATTTTGTACATCGTGTACCTTAGCAAAATCCGTCGACAATTTATTCATATTTTTGGCAATTGTGATATTACGTGCATTGCATTTTAATCGATGATAATATCTTTTTGACATCTCTGACAGTAATTTTCGTTTTGGCATGATTGATATTTTGGTATATCCTACAAAAATATTATAACTATTTTTTTCTGTTGTGTATAGATATTTAAATATTTTTTTAAAGTTAATTATATTACTTTTATAATAAATAATAAAACAATTTATGTTCTAAACACAAAACATAATGTGTACTTATAACACACATCTTTGTAAAACAATAAAGATAAATCTTTACCGTAAAATTATTAATAAAAAACAAATATATTTTAATCGCAAATAGTAAAAAAATGGGCTGCTTTCGCGAAAAATCAAAATGAGATTCAATCTCATTGAAATTTTATTCAATGAAATTTCAGATTTGACCAATCACAGCGTAGGGTCATTTTAATCTGGATCATTTTGATTTTTCGCGAAAGCAGCCCTGATTAGAACCTTAATATACTTACAAGGGAATTGTCGGAAAATGTCCCTTATTGATTTTGATGCGATTTGGATATGTTGTAGAGGATCAAAAAATATTAGACCCATAATTTTTTTAGCTGTGTATCTCAATATCTAGAGGTTGAAACAACCCTTCGAAAATAATGGATTTTTCGTTTTTAGCGAATATCTCCGAAAATATAAATATTAAAAAAATGTTTTATGCAAAACTTTTATGGTATTTTATACTTTT